AAGAAAAACAAAACCGCCTTCCCCCCCCCCTTCCGCCCCCTTAGCTCAAGGTCTGGATCCACCACTGTGAATGACATATATTTATTCAATTTGTTATTACTTATGTAGATCCAATGGACCCCAAACACAGTCATGAGTCAGTCAAAGGTGATAACACTCTCGAAAGTGTATTACTGTCAAACACCATGGAGGAAAGATCCTGTCTTGTTCCAGCAGAGGGCTCTACTTCTATTTCAGATGTAAAGGATTGTACTTTGGTTGAAAGGGTTCAAGATATAGCATTAGACCATGGAGGTGTTAAAACTGAGTGGACAGCTTCAACTGCAAGCATTCATTTAACAGCAAATGTGCACAACAAGGCTGGTATATTTGAAGAAGAAGAGGAGGGGGAACTTGATTACGAGGAAGATGAGGGAGAATTAGTGACAGCACAAGAAGATAGAAATGGAGTTAAAAACGACATGGAGGGTGATGATAAGGAGGAAGGTGAGCTGGCAGAACCTGAACAAGACGAAGAAGGTGAAGAAGGAGAAATCCTCTCAGATGAAGATACTAAGGTATATTTCACATGATGAACTAATATATTTCAATTGATAAAATCCTGTTATTAAGTCTTGGATTTAGATTTGTCCAAAATTCAGTCTTAGCGGGCTTTTTATGTCTATTATCTTGTCATTAAAGGTTTCCTGCAACATACAGTGAAACATGTGTAAAAATTATAGTCTGTTTTTGATGATTCTAATATCATTTTCTAAGGCAAGCAGTGATTGTATCAAGATGGTACAAGAATTTAATATGTAAATGATTGAAAATGTAAGACATTTACCTCTACCCGAGTATGTGTTATGTAGCCTGCATAGCAAACATTCGGACCATAGAAACAAAAGATCTGGCTGTGCGATCTTGTCAGCATACTCTGCAATACTGATTTTTCACAGTTGAGTTCATTTATTGATTGACAGTTTGTTTCCAGGCATTAAAACAGCACTGGTATAAAATTAGTAGAAAGTGAAAATACAGGAAGTGCAGTGTTGGAAATTAGCACTCGCCCGCTCGCCAAATGCAAGTGTGAAAAGTGTTAGGGGAGTACAAATCATCTATCACTCGCCTGTTCGGCTGCTATTTTCATTTTTGGGAAGTTATTTCAGCGTAAATATTGATAACACTCCTAGTCCTTTTGATTCAATTTTAGCAAGAATATCTTTCAATGAAAACTTATCTTTCAAGATGCCTAAATAATTTGTCAATAATATATGTAGCTAATAATACAGAACTTGGCATTTCCTAGATAGACAAAACGAAATACAGCTTCTTCCAGTGATAATTTACAAATGCTATGTTCTGTATTATTAGCTACGAAGCAGGCTTCTAGCCAGGATTTGAAAAGTGGGCATCCAAATTGTGCCATAGGGCATGCTCAAATGAACAATTTATAAGGCAACATAATTATGAAAAACAAGAAGATCTTTCAGATCTTATAACCATGCTTTTAAAATTAAACTGTTTTCTTAGCACTACAGTCGCAATGCAGTGCACATTCCAAAGCAGTCCTTGACTACTGTAGACACCACATCACTTGATCAACACAAACTGTATTATTGCACCATCAGTCGTAGCCGTTGTGAAATCTCTGATGACGTAATTACTTCCGGCACATGTCATAATATGGGATCATGAGTGACCCGAAGAAAAAACAAACAGAAAAAAAAACTGGTTTGAACCTATTTCCAGCAAATTTGGCACACCAGAAGCTGAGAAAATTACCCTATTTCCAGCCATCATTTTTCAGCTCTTTTCGTCATATCCCACC